GAAATCTGATTTCATTTCAGATGCTTTGAGCTAATGTTCTTTTTTTGGTTTGGCTTGTTTAAATAGATTTTCCCTGTCAATTTCCAGACCTGCTGTGGCATCAGCCTACACGGACTGCTGTGGTCAACACGGGGGTTGTAGCAGCAAATTTTATTATGGACTGGTAATTGAATTGAACAGGTTTACATTTGAATAGATTTACTACATCATGATCTCTGACATACTGCATGGGACTGAAATCCCTCTCCATCCATAAAGATACATTTAAGACAATATCATTCTCTCCAGGCTTCAGAAGCAAGACTGAAGCCAAGGAGATGGCCAAACATAATTGTGCATTTGTATGCGGGGTGTAAAGCAGTATTTCACAGTACTTTTTTTCTTAAGTACAAAAGAAAGGGACTATTCCATATTTATGCCTAACCATCTCACCCTTTCTGTGTGCGGTAGCGGTTGGAACACTAATGTGGTGCCATTAAAATGGGCACAAGGAAGTGGAGGAAAAATAAATTATTATTTGAGTATATCAGCAACAGCAGCAATTCCCTTGAAAACAGACCCTCTAAAGGCTTGATAACAGCAACTGAAGAGGTGTGAATTATAGATAAGCCCTGTCCCATTTACTCTCACCAAGAATGTTTAATTAAACGCAGTTCACACTCTCCAGCCACTATTACTACCCTTCGGGATTGCTCCTAATGGGGGTGGGGGAGGGTACCACATTGGGGGAAAGTCTCTCCCCACCCCCTACTTCCTTAAAACCTTGAAAAAAGGGATAAATTATGTGGAGTGGGCAAGCAGTGGAAAAACTGGAGCAAAATAATAAAAAAGTCGGCCTACTTGGATATGAGAGCATTCCATGTACTTTAATTTTTAATATAAAATTCATTCGCTTATAATTGATTGTATTATAAAATGTGCTGCATTTTAGTCTGATATAGGTTAAGGCAAAAAGCAAGCGAAAGTTTTTCACTTTAAGAAGTCATCTCTCTCACCAGGGGTCCTCATGGCTCAGTGGGTTAAGCAATGGACTGTTGACCAAAAATCTGTTCTTCAAACTCACCAGTGACAGGAAAAAGATGCAGTGGTGTGCTTCTGTAAAGATTTACAGGCTTTATACCTCCACAGGAGGGGGAGAGAGGGACCAGATTTCAACACGGTGTGCCAAGACATGAATGCAACATACTGGCATGAAGCAGCGTACCAAGAGAGGTCTGCGGGGCTGGCCCCAATCCCCAATACACAGACACCCCCCACCCCACCCCCAACTCAGGGAGAGAGGCACATCTGATCAGAGCACACAGGAGCAAATGAAGAGGGAGAGAGAGAGAGAGGGGAACACATCCTGGCCCACCAAGACCCGAGGATGATATTCTTGCTCAGAGCAGTCAATGCCCTGAGAGGACCATAAGGCTGGCCCCACTACGAGACACGATGTCCCTCACTGACCCATGGCGCTATGGGGACAACACTGGAGGCATAGCGCGGGGATTGTGCCAGATCTGACATCACCACACCAGGGCAAAACTAAGGGTGCGCAACAGAGCACCAAGGGGAGCATAGCAATGAAGTCCCCAGGATACAAAAAATGGACTTTGGGGCCAGGGCATGGCACCCTATCAGACAACACCAGAAAACACTCCTAATGGCAAATAAACTATTTACAGGGTTTTCTTTGTCTGTCATTGGTTTTTTTGGGTGGTTGTTATTTTTATTTTATTTTGTTGTTTTGTTTTGCTCTGTCTTGTTTTTGTGCTTCTTATTGTCTATAGAGATCCGATGAATGGGATATATACTCCAGAGGAGAAAACAACGGGACTGATGTTTCCAGGGGGACATGGGAGAGGGGGAGACGGGGGAAAGGACGTAGGTGTTAACAAACCCAGGGGAAAGGGAACAATAAGTGATCTAAAATCAATGGCAAAGAGGACATAAAATGCCTGGTGGAGTTTGATCAAGGGCAATATAGCCAAGAGGAATTACTGGAACCTGAATGAAGGTGGAATATGATAGTGGGACAAAAGGAAAGTAAAGGGAAATAGAGGAAAGAACTAGGAGGCAAAGGACATTTATAGAGGTCTATATACAGGCATGTACATATGTAAATTTATTTATATATAACGATAGAGAAATAGATCTCTGTACATATATTTATATGTTACCTATTAAGGTACAGATGGACATTGGACCCTAACTCAAGTACTTCCTCAACGCAAGAATACTTTGTTCTAATAATCTAGCATTCTGTGATGCTCAGCTTCCCAACACAATCGCTGAAGACAAAATGGGGGTATAGCAAATGTGGTGAAGAAAGCTGATGGTGGTGAAAGCTATATCCAAAGATATAGCAACTGGGGCCTTAAAGGCTTGAAGACAAACAAGTAGGCATCTAGCTCAGAAGCAATAAAGTCCACATGGAAGAAGCACACCAGCCTGTGTGATCATGAAGTGTCAATGGGATCAGGTATCAGGCATCGAAGACCCAGAACAAAAAAATCATATCAATGTGAATGAGGGGGAGTGCAGAGTGGAGACCAAAAGCCTATCTATAGACAACTGGACATCCCCTTACAGAAGGGTCACAAGGAAGAGAAGAGCCAGTCAGGCTGCAATATAGCACCGACGAAACATACAACTTTTCTCTAGTTCCTTAATGCTCTATTCCTGCCTGCCACCCCCACCCCACCCCCCCAACTATCATGAACCCAATTCTACCTTACAAATCCTGCTAAACCAGAGCATGTACACTGGTACAGATAAAAGCTGGAAACACAGGGAATCCAGGACAGATAAACCCCTCAGGACCTATAATGAGAGTAGCAATACCAGGAGGAAAAAGAGGGAACCGATCACAATGATTTACATATAACTCCCTCCCAGGGGGACGGACAACAGAAAAATGGGTGAAGGGAGTCAGTGGTTTGTGTAAGACAAGAACAAAAAACAAACATAAATTATCAAGGGTTCATGAGGGAGGGTGGTGGGGGAGATGGGGTGGGGAATGAGCTAATACCAAGGGCTGAAGTAGAAAGAAAATGTTTTGAAAATGATGATAGCAACATATTTACAAATGTACTTGACATAATGGTTGAAAGTATGGATTGTGATAAGAGCTGTATGAGCCCCCAATAAAATGATTTTAAAAGTTTTACAGGCTCAGAAATCCCTTGAGGCAATTCTACCCTGTTCTACAGGGACTCTATGTGGGTTGAGCTCTTATTGTTGAGCCTTCAATTTTTATGGTGTGTGTGTCTGTGTGTGTGTGTGTGTGTGTGTGTGTGTGTGTGTGTGTGTGTCTCAGAATGGTCATATGAGCATCTTCATCTAGTAAGAGTAGCTATATACATTAAATCTATAACTAGGCACCTTTTCCGTTTGTTTTTTAACTTGACCATGTATTTTGGCCATCTCTCTTTTCTTAAGCCTGTTCTCATTAAGACATAGATGTACCACTGCCATCAAGTCAAACATGCCTCCCAGCAACCCTACAGGATGAAAGAGAACTGCCCCAGTGGGTTTCCAAGGCTGTCACTCTTTGTGGGATCAGAAGGCCTCATCTTTCTACTGTGGAGCAACTGGTGAAATCAACTGCTCATCCTGCAGTGAGCACTCAAACACATGCCCACTTATGCCACCGGGCTGATAGATAGATTGATAGAGAATTTACAAAGGAATATAGAAGTTGAAGACAATAGGAATGAAAGGTTTCCTTTGTTCCTAGTCATGTGAGGGGGTAGATGACTCTGGTAATAGGTGGAGATATACACCCAGGTATAAATGGATTCACTCATCTTTCTATAATACCGTTCATAATAAAATATCTGGATATAAGAACCCACCATGAAAAAATTAGGATATTGAGTAATGCCATATCTAACAGACCTTCAGGTTTGTCTTTGGTGCATAAATACTTAGGTTTATAAAGATTTGGGAGTCAGTGGGATAGGAGACTTCCAGTAAAAATATCTCAAGTGGCAAATTCAAGGAACAAAGGACGGATTCAATGGAAGCTGTACTTGATTTTAATAACTCTAACTTTTAGACATCTTAATTTCCTCTCCATTTTCAATGACTAGATTTTCATTTTTGACTTCATAAAATTATACCATAGCCACCTGAAAATCTGGTGATTTCTCATGAAGGAAGAAGCTGGAAAACCTAAAAGTGGTATTTGGAAGCACGTGCATAGGAGGTAGTTTCCCCTCCCCCCATAAAAATACAAATTAACACTTAATTTTTTAAAAAGTAAACACTGGGTTTTGCAGAGAAGAGCACAAGTTCTTTCCTAGTCTGCCCTTAGTAGACATGCCGGAACTTACACGGATCTCAGGTCTGGTGACCTGAGGAGAACACGTGAGTGAATTCTGGAATCGGACTCAGTGGGTTTCATTCCTGGCAATTTGCTCAGCACTGAGGCATGTTTACCGTAATTATTCAGTATCTTGGTTTTGTTGCTATTCCACTCCTGACACCCCGTCACTTCCCTACCCCGCCCCCACTACCAACCTACCAAAAAAAAAAAAAGGCAAATGGAAAACAATTTTAATAACATTGTTGCAGACTCTTTATAATAGGAAGTGAGACCCAAAGATAATATTGCCAAGAAACAAAGAATACTGTGAACCCCAAGACGTGGAAAGAGAGAAAAACCGTAATAAATCTGAGAAGAGTAGGAAAGAGACCACAACAGGGTCCTCTTGCTTTTCCGTTCTCATTTGCATTCTGCGAACTAAACAGATAACACTCAGAGCGAGAAAGCAGAAGGGGTGGGGTTTGCTGCACATCAGATGTGCCCTACCTTGTCCCTTCTGCTGACGTTAAGCAATTTTCCACAGAGTATCAGAAAGCTCGGCTGTAATACAGTATTCTACCTTCGGACTCAGCATACTTACTTTGATTCCGTCTTTTCCTGCTTTCTCTAAAATTGTTATTCCTGGCCCATCTCAACCCACACGCTCACCCCCAGCCTAACTCGTGGAGTCAGTGAGAAAATGTCTTACCTTCTTTCAGCATGCCCACTTTTAAGCACTTCATGAAGCGGCAGGCCTGGCACGATTTACGTCTGCGCTTTGTGATTTCACATTCATTGGTGGCAGGGCAGCTGTATTCTATATTACCTACAGCACAGGGGGTAGAAAAAGATGCTGTTAGATTTGAAACTCCCAGAACAGATTAGCATCCTGACAACAACGTCAAATTGTTACTCCCCTCACTCGAAAAAACAGCCAAGAAAAGTCACCGGGGATCAATGTCTCAAACCTCCTGACACTGGATTCTCTGCTCCAACCACTGAGCATGCATTGAACAATGAGGAGCTACACAGCGCGGAGCTCTCCCAGAGATGAAGTTACAAATGAAACACTACAGGGCAAGGCTTATGCCAGCCCTGCCTGGTAATGTGTTTCCAGAATCTCAGGATGGAAAAGAAAGGTCAATACAGATTATTCCCATAAAAACACAAACTCAAAACTGTGCTTTGGTATCATCGATCCTGGATTTCTTTTCGTTAGCAATGCTCTACTGCTTCCGGCTTATTGTCTTTACAACGCTGAGCAGAAGAACCCTCCCGGTGACAAATGATCAGCAGGCTCATTTGGAGCCCAGAGGAGTCGGAACTGACTCCACGGCTGTGGGTTTAGGTTTAGATACAATCCTAGGGGGCAGGAGCTGAACGGACAACACATTTACCACCGCGGTGACCAGCGCCTGGGCGCATAATTCCATGCTTAGTAAATGCGTACTGATGATCATTATCATGTCTGTTTCCTGATTTGCATAATTAATTCCAAGCTCTTCAATGCCGTCAACACATTACAAATAAACGCTTTAAAATCATATGTTTGTAAATAGTTTTTCTTATTATCAGTGTTTGCGTCATTTAGAATAGTACCTACATTTTGGAAACCATGTAGGCAGCCAGAAGACCCAAACTTCACTCTTTTTTTCAATTAGGGCCAATGGCAGTGTGTGGGATGTGCTGTGGGGCTGCCCACCGCTTGGGAAAGAAGCTGCCTTTAACATGAAACTTCCCTCCCCTATCAGCTTTGTCACACAGTGCTTGAAGGTCTTTCGTTACTTCCTAACCCTTTCCCCTTGTGATTAAGTGCATTAGTATCTTAATGAAAATGCATTCTGTTTATTGCCCTCTTGGGAAGGGGGAGGTCATCGCACCAAATGCATAAATTGTCATCAGAGACAGTCAGAGCATAATTGCAATTTTGCTGCTCCATGTTTGCCATACTCGGGGTCCATCCAAGTCCCCTGAAACAGGCGCCGATTCTAGTAATTAGCATAGAGTCTGCCTGGGACCACAGCATTGATGAAATATTTCAGAGTTAATCACACTTTGTAAACACTGATTTATATTGACTACCTTTCTCCAGACTGATGTCTCCTCATTAAATATCACATTAGTGGATTGCAGCACTGCACAAAGACTCAACTACTCAGCAACTGTTAATTCAACAGGAAGGAATACCTAACCATTTATACCTATGGAAAATTGGCTCAGTATGCACCACTTAAATGTGTATGTGAGGGGGAGTCTGTAGATTATAAATTGAGATACATCTATCAATAGTGTTTGACTAAACTATTATTCCAATGCAGGCATTTACAAAAACAATGAATGATAAGAAAAGGTTAAATAAAAGAGAACATGAATCTCATTGACCGAAGAATCCACCATCATCTTCCTCGAAGATATTGTTGGCTCTGCATTCAGAGAAAACCAGGACAAGGCAAGGAACCAGGTTGGCTGGGTGATGGCTGAGAATAAATGGATTGAAAACCTGAACTTTCGATGAACACTTTTCTGTGTTGACTTCCTCTAACCATCACTGAAAATGGCCGTTGCATCCTGCAACAGTTGCTGTGGTTGCTAGCAATTGTCCAGGGGTTAATTAGCATTTTCTACGACCAGATCCTGCCTGTCTACGTGGCTCTCTCTTGACAGATCTTAAAAAGAAGACTAATTCATTCTGCTCTCTTAGCAAGGATGAACAATGGTTATTAGATCAAAGATGATAGATAGATAGATAGATAGATAGATAGATAGATAGATAGATAGATAGATAGATAGATGATAGATAGACAGATAGATAGATATAGAGATATTCTACCAAGCTGTATATTGCTCACTGTCCAGTACTGAAGGCATGATTCGACATCTGCCCTGCCTGTTTAGCCTAATGCTCAAAATGTCTACCTAAATGACCTACCATCAAAAATGTAGGTGAACAATCTTTCAAAATAAGCTCCTCTTCTCTTTCAAAAAGTGTCCTTCCTATCAGCATACGTGTGACTTAAATTAGGCACATGTGACCTCACACCTAAACTATTGCAGCTCTCTCCTAACTGGGCTGGCTCTCTGCCTCCAATCTGTTCCGCTCTCATCCACCCTGCATACTCCTCACCCTATCATATCACTGTCCTCATTAAAATGGCAAACAAAACAAAAAATAGATACCGATGGCTTCCTGAGTTCAATATAAATTATTAGACTAGCACATGAGGCTCTCCCACAATCTCTCTTCTACTTTACTGGCAATATTACAATTACTATCCTAAATGCACTTTCCAACATGACCGTTTTTGTTTGTTTGTTGACTTACTTACTTACATACTGTGCCCTCAGACTTGCTTCTGAGAATGCTCTTTGACCCTCTTTGCTTCTTGAATTGAGTCCCAAGACTCAATGGGCAACTCAAACACCATTTGAACCTTTCTTGAACATTCCTGGGGCTCTCCCAGCAGAAAACGATTACTTGGGTCTCATCTCTTCAGGTTGTCTCCTCGTGCACGGCATTTTGTTATACCTTTTTAACAGGTACATCCCCATCAGATAGGAGAATGTGGAGGGCTATGGTCATGTCTTACACTAGAGGAAAAAACATTCTTCCATCAAAAAAGCTGTGTGTATGTAAAATAAAACACTGCCCCGTAGCGAAGTACAATTTCTTAGTATGATTCTTCTGTCCATTTCTCTATCAACTCTCACCAAATGATGGGATGGAGCCATGCAACTAAAATGTAGAGACTCTAACTGGAGATGGGTTAGTTTTGCCCTTCCCCCGGGTATAAGTGAGCCATCTCAGAAGGAGTAGAGAGAATCCTGGGGCCACCAAGAACGAAGAGTCACAGTGGAGCACGTACAAGATCCCAGTCTGAAAAGGTGGAGGTAGCAGAAGCCGAGACTCAAAGACCCTGAGACAGCGCAAAGGAGCCCCACTGAGTCTGAGCAGAGTAGTAGCAAGGAGAGCAGGAGGCAGTCAGGCAGTCAGGCAGAGTGGCAGAGGGCTCCTGACCCCTGTAAGCAAGGGTGAAGGGACGACGAGGCTGAGGATAAGCGTGACCCTTGGCTGCTCGCTGAGAAGAGCTGCTGTGGATGACAGACTGTATCTTTACTCTTTACTAACCGGCCAACGTCCCTAATGACCCCCATAATCATGAGTATTTACTGTGAGTTCTAGGTAGCCACTGCAATGGCTTGCTGGCTTGCTGAATCCAGCCAGAGAAGTAGTGTCATGGGAGGACTTTGTCACAATAAGCCACAAAGGATGGCGGGGGCTCCTGCGATCGCTGGCACTCCCATGCAGCTGGAGTGCTTGCTGTTTGCTTTGAAGAACTACTTCAACCGAACTGTTGCTCTCATTAATTAATTCTGATAGGCGAACGGATGTGGGAACTCTGGAAAGTTGTAACCAGACCATGAGTTTGATTTTGGATGAAAGTCAGGAACGAGTAATTGCGCTTTTCACGGGGAGTAGGACAAGTGGTAATGGTGAGAGGTGCCAATGCTGCAGGCACTGGAGAAATTGATGAAGAGACTGATTCTGTACTTGATTTGGGGAGTATCTAAGCAGAACCTTGAAACCGTCGCACACTAAGAGGAAAGGACGACGAGACATCTGTAAGCCTTTGTATAGAAACGGATTATTCCGAGGAAGATGTGCAGAACCTTTATGAATGAGTAATTGTGGATTTTGAATCCTTGGTCCATTGTAACAGGATAATGTAAATTTAAATATTTCTCTATTTTGCTAAAAATTATTGTGTGTGTGCGTGTGTGTGTGTGTGTGTGTGTATGTGTGTGGCTTCAATCCTAAATTTCGTAGCCCGAGGATATTTTTCTATTAAGTGGTCTGAGAACCTAATGATTGTTTGGGGAGATTTGTGAATAAATCAGCACTATCTGATTCTTTAGAATATTAATGGAAACTCTGTTGTAAAGAGAAATGTGCATCATGTAAATCAAACATACAATTACCATCAGGAATGCGGCACTTTCCCCTGGTTTCGAATAGCTCCGAAGAAGGTGCACTCTATCTTTTGCGGCCATGTGAACCCCCATGTTACTAGCACTCCTCCTATGGTGCTCGCCAGTGCTTTATGGGGTTGCTCGCCAGCCCGGGGTGTGAGTAAAACTGTGTTTCACTAAGAAAAGGAATAAAACCAGTGAAGGTGTAATGGATTAGGGCAAGGAAATAAGGACTAGACTGCTGATGATGGATAGGAAAGTAGGTTTGATATTGAAAGATATTGGTAAAACTTTTGAGATGCCTAATTATTTTAGTATTGTACAGTATAAACATTAAGATTGCGCTTTGTGAGATGTATATTATCTAAAACTGATAGGTGCTTTTCTTGCTTTTGATTTTTAAGGATAGGGAAATGTCTAGTCTTTCAAGGCAAGTGTTTTGTTTACAAAGGTGAATAAGTTTATATGAAAGCAGTGTTTTCTACTTTTTTTAAAAAAAAGGAGAGCAGGGCTATGTCTGACTTCTGCTTTACAGCAATTGGCCAGGGACTGGTAAGTAGCCTCCTCCTTTGTTTAGCCAAAGGAGGTCAGATGTGGCCCCCACACCACTGTCTCACTAGTTACTGCGCTGTAATGTGGCAACCCTTACATGGGTGGAGGCACTGAATGTCTCACTAGGAAACAACACTAAGGACACTGGGAAAGCCAGTCCACAAACAAATTTAAACCCTGAATCCATATTACCTCCTGAAGTAGCTTTAATACTAAGTAACCGTTTAGCTCAAAAGGTAAAGACTGTCACCCTGGAGCACTGAGTTCTGCTTAAAAAAAAACAAAAGTATCTCCATCTTATTGGTA